GATAGCAGAAGCTCGTACTAATACACTATCAAAGTATGCCCATCAGACCCTGAGTTGGCATTTCATACCTGCCGCTGCTCCCCACATGGGTGGTCTGTGCGAGGCAGGTGTGAAAAGCTTTAAAGGTCACTTTAAAAAGATGGCGTCTAGTTCGAAATACACGTTTGAGGAATTCAGTACGCTCCTGTGTAGCGTTGAGTCGTGTCTAAATTCACGTCCGCTAAGCCCAGCCTCCAATGAACCATCTGACCTGGAGCCCTTAACTCCGGGTAATTTTTTAGTCGGCGGACATCTATTAGCTCCACCAGAGATCGACGTCGATGAAAACCCTGCGTCGATCGTCAACCGCTGGCAGAAGCTGAAGGCCTTACATCAACACTTCTGCAAAAGGTGGAAAACAGAATACCTTTCAGAATTACAGAAGCGGATCAAGTGGAAGCATCCTAAATCAAATATGAAAGTGGGAGATTTGGTAGTCATAAGAGAAGATAATCTACCACCCAATGAGTGGAGACTGGGAAGAGTGATCGATTTGCACCCAGCCTCCGATCACCGGGTACGTGTTGTGGATATCATGACCGAGAAGGGCAGGGTGACAAGGCCGCTTGTCAAGTTAGTATTACTACCACCGCATTCCACGGAGACTGATGAGACAACTTCTTCAGTATAAACCACTACGCGTAAATACAATCGCTTTACAAACTGAGTCCGCATCGCAAACACATTTAGCTTAATTTAATTTCCGCTTGGACACACGAGCAAGTAAACAATTAGTAGATAAGTCGAGGTTCATATTTTGATGTTTTCGTTAAAGAAAAAAAAAGATTGCAGAAGGAAAAATTGATGGAAGGATAAGCCTGTACTTGTAATAGTTTACCAGTGGGGCGACAGCTGTACCAGCAACTTTCGGCATTAACACAGAGAAAGACGATACACAGCTTAAAACGTACCTTCATTATCCCTATAATTGACTAGTTCAAAATTACGTATTAAACGGGAAGCCAGAAATTTGTCTAAATAAACTATCACTTCATAGATAAGTTTCTTTACTCCAGTCCTAACATTTAGGGAATTAGTCACCAAGAACTTAGAGATTGCCCGATCAGCTTAGAATCAGTTACAAGCTAGTCACTGTTGCGTAAAATCCCGCGACATAATCAACCATCGATCACAATCTGGAGTCAACTGTTCTACCGGCCTAAGTAGAGAAATAAGCCGATTTTTTTTAATAGTGAAGTTTAAACGGACTATTCAATCAATATTCCAAGAAATTAGAAGCCATCAACCAAGTTAACGTCTTCCAGAGTTTAAATACTTCTTTCATTAAGAATAATACACGGAATCTACATACTGGTGAGTTAGTGGATCACCAAATTTTCTCTAACCGAATCTAGGGAGTAAGTTAATTCAGGACATACATACAAATATACAGATACAATAACACTTACCCTCATTTTCAATTCGTGTGTCATCCTTATGTAATTTCTTCGGCTTTGCTGAACCTTCGTGGTGATGAGGTAAGCGATCGCGGTTCCATCTGGTTTACAGGCCACTACCGGTGTCCTTAATGTGATTCCATTACACATTACTTTAACTGCTAGCGCTGGAGAAATCTCTGAATGTTTACCACTTGTTTCACTGTTCGGATAGTAGCCATGCGTTTCCCGATAAATTTTTTTGCATAATACCACTTCACTATCACTGTATATATATATATATATACATCACTTCACATATTAGGCACATTATCCGATAATATAGAAGTTGCTTTTGCTCGCTTACACTTCACTTGGATAGAATCACGATTTCCATTACTTGTTTTTTAAAATGGAGCTAAAATGCCAGTTTCAAACCGGTTTCTTTTAGAATTTTAATATGCACCACTTTCGTACGAACGAGTTGGGAAAGCCGGGTGTTTCTTTTCGTTTCTTTGCGCACCGCGATTGCAAATAAATTTAAATGGACAATAGCATGAACGAAAGACACAAGATCACGCAGGAAGGAAAAAACGAAAAAAGTTATTTTCTAACTGCCGAAATCTCGACGCCATCTTTGTTGTAAGAAGTAAACAACGAAGAGAACGGAGAAAACCGCGAAATTGTTGAACGCATGAATACTCATTTTTATTATGCAAATTTTTCTATAAATCATGCCGTTGTGTTAAATTATTCTTTACCTTATGTGTACACACGTTGTCACAGGCGAAAAGAAGAAAATTGCAGTAAAAAGCCACGACCAAGTTGTAAACAATGAAGAAATGTAAACAAACGGCTATTGTCAAAATCCATGAACCAAAAATACAAGATCACGCGGGCAGGAGAGTAGCCCGTTAGAATCGCATTTAGGAAAAAAGTTTAACGATTTTGACAATAGCCGTTTGTTTACATTTCTTCATTGTTTACAACTTGGTCGTGGCTTTTTACTGCAATTTTCTTCTTTTCGCCTGTGACAACGTGTGTACACATAAGGTAAAGAATAATTTAACACAACGGCATGATTTATAGAAAAATTTGCATAATAAAAATGAGTATTCATGCGTTCAACAATTTCGCGGTTTTCTCCGTTCTCTTCGTTGTTTACTTCTTACAACAAAGATGGCGTCGAGATTTCGGCAGCTAGAAAATAACTTTTTTCGTTCTTTCCTTCCCGCGTGATCTTGTGTCTTTCGTTCATGGTCAAAATCGTTAAACTTTTTTCCTAAATGCGATTCTAACGGGCTACTCTCCTGCCCGCGTGATCTTGTATTTTTGGTTCATGGGACAATAGTACACATGTGTAGCGTGGTATGTTTTGTGAATGAAGTCGGCCATTCACGGAAATGGATATTATTATCGATAACATGAAAAGATAAATCCGATACTTTACCAAGTTACCTCATTCAATATTTATACCGTGGTTACAGTTGCCATTGCCTGTGTAAGGTCTGCGCAAACTTCTGCTAAAATGAGCTTGATCATAGCGTAAGTGCATTAAGTGCTTGCAGTAGTGACAATAATAAGCACGCTTTTCATATACAACAAATAATACATAACTATTTATTGTTATCTATTTCAACATCATCAATCATTAAGGGGTGTCCCTACCGGCACACTTTCGTAAATGATTGCGTAAAGTTACTTTACTGCGATGAAAACAAACTGTATTTATGTTTGTTGTATGCCAAAATTTACAAATATTGCTCGCCACCCTACAATATACTCCTCATCAAGTCCTATTTAGAATGAGTAAACGTCATTTCAGAGAATGACCCGTTTCACGTCGATACGAAAAGAAGCCGAAAAAGTTCGCTACCCATTAACATGCCGACTCTGCGGCTCGAAACATCCTCTCAGGCTTTGCCCTGTCTTTCGGGCAAAAATACCAGAAGAGCGTCTGCGTGAAGTCTTTCCGATGCTTTCTGCGCAGAAAACCCCGCCGGAATGGAAACCACCGCTTTCCATCCAGATGGGTCGAGGGGACTAGAAACGAAGCATTTTCGCCCGGACCTCCAACATGAGCGTGATCAGCAGGAAGGACTGGAAACCGCAGCTTTCCAGCCTCCAAAAAATAAGAGAGGTCGCAAAACCCAAAACCAGCGTTACCGCACTCGCCGTCGGAAACTTGACAGCGGGAGAGTGGAATCACGAGCATTCCACCTCTCCGCTCGGCGCGGATTTCGGTCCGAACGAGTGACAGAAGGGCGATCAGCTGTTATGCCATTACAAAGCCTGACACCAATAGCACCAACCGCAGTAGTGAGAGTCGAGGCTGGAGGCCGACTGCATCTGATACGGGCACTCATAGATCCGTGCACCACAACGTCTATAATAGCTGCTGACCTTGCCCAAGAGCTACGATTAAATGTGAGGAGCGTTAATAAGCAGCGAGGCTGCTTTATTAAAATGCGTGGAAAGCACGGGCAGACAGCGACGGTAACTACATACGCTATTACCGTACGAAATTTCAGCAAGATGACCCCTATTGCGAATATCGATGCATCAATTTGTTCATCGTACACTAACTTAAGATAAGCTGACCCGAGATTCCATATGGGTGTTTCCAGCGGAAGGTCCACCACGACAAAAAAAATAAAAGGTTTACATCTAACGTATTTACGGGCCGATTTGTCTGCTTTTTAAAATATATACTGGCTATGTAAGTAGAATCATGTTTGCATAAAATGGTCTTCCTAGGTGGTGCCAACGTCGAGATATTTCGAAAAACCGTATTTATGGTCCGATTTGGTTCGAATTTGGCGCATGTGGTTGAAACATAATAAATCATAGATTTCTAATAAATTTACCCTGAATTGGCGCTGAAGTCAAAATATAAAGTATATTCTATATAAAATACATGTTTTATTTGCGTTGAACATTCATTTAAAAGCAATATTAACAAAAATATAACGATGGAAATTTATGTCACGTGACGCCACGTCACGTCACGTTTCACACTTGGGGTTGTAAAAGAGAATTGAAACAATTTGCATTAATTCAAATAACTCTAAAAATAACTAGAATTGCTCCAGATCATATTAAAAAAAGTTTCATAAAGTAGCCATCCACAATTCGCAGAGTTTTGCGATTTTGTAAGAAAAGAAAAAATCAACTTCCGTTTTTTGTCACGTAACGACACTCTCTTTAAATGCTTATATTTCAGGACCAAGCAGTTCGATTGATTTAATTTTTCGGTTGTAATTAAAAAGAAGTGGTTACGCATCTCTTCGTTCAAACCATCCGTGACTGAAGATAAAATAATTTCATATGCTGCTAATCAGTCAGGCGTTGACAGTCAACACCTGGCTTGCTACAAGCTGGTTAAAAAGAGTGCTTCTGTCCATAGTTTGCGTAGCCTTAACTTTAAATTTGGCGTTTCACCAGCATTCTACAACAAAATTGCGAATCCAGCTGTCTGGCCGACTAATATAAACGTAAGACCGTTCCGCTTTTTTCAAAAACTGGACAACTCGGAAGCGAACCACTAGCCCAAATCGCAGCTGCAATGATAATAATCTGAAAATCTACTACCAAAATATATCTGGTATTCGAACTAAATGTGCAAAGGTTCGCATGTTAACTGCTCATTTGGAATATGACGTATACGTTTTTGTGGAATCATGGCTTAACGACAGCTTTTTTGATTGCGAAATCTTTGATTCAGACCTTTTCGACATTTTTCTAAATGTGCAAAGGTTCGCATGTTAACTGCTCATTTGGAATATGACGTATACGTTTTTGTGGAATCATGGCTTAACGACAGCTTTTTTGATTGCGAAATCTTTGATTCAGACCTTTTCGACATTTTTCGCAAAGACAGTGATGCTGAGAAGACGGGATGTTCTAGAGGCGGTGGTGTTCTTATAGCGGCTCAACGGAGATTCAAAGCTTCACAAGTAACGCTCACCAATTCTGACTCGCTCCTTGATCAGCTTTGCGTCTGTATTCACAGCTCCACCGGCGATATCCTTTACATATGTGCGTCATACATCCCGCCGAATAGCTCTGAAAGCCTTTACGTTGCACATGCTGATAACATCGTATCATTGGCGTCTGATGTCGTTTGTAATAATCACATTTGTGTTCTTGGTGATTTCAACTTTAGCCGGTTGAATTGGACTCCAAGTGGGGATTCTGCTGCTCTTATAGCTGCAAACGTGAGCTCTCCAACAGAAATTCATATCGTTGATAGCTTTTCAAGTATTGGATTACAGCAAGTTAACTGTATTTATAACCAACTAAATAGACTATTGGATCTTGTTTTTATCAGTGACAATGTAAACTTCACGTTATCGGAATGTATGTCTCCCATCTCCCCGGCTGTAATGCATCATGTGCCTCTCGCTCTTGAGCTGGAGTTTTATAACTTTGATTCATTGCCGGATGATCGCAGTATTAATTTTAACTATAAAGCGTGTGATTTTTCTTCCTTAAATGATGCCCTATCAAATATAGATTGGAGTTATGCTTTCCGTGGCAGTGATGTAGCCTCTTGTTACCGTATTTTTAAGACCACCCTCTATGAGCTATGCCTACAGTATATCCCTATTCTTAAGAAGAAGGTGTACAAACTACCGTGGTATACGAAGCGTTTAAAGCATCTAAAAAATTTAAAAAACAAATTTAGCAAATTGTATAAATCCTCAAAGCGCATCTTCTTAAGTTCCGGTACTTTCTAAAAGAATTTAATTGTTTGAACAAATTTTTATACCGAAATTATATTTTAAACTTTGAAGCTAATATTATCTCGAATCCCAAATCTTTCTGGCGTTTCATTGATTCCCGAAAATCTTGCTCATCAATTCCAACAAATGTTTTCTACAATGGCCGCTCCGCAAATTCATCCTCTGACTCGGCAAACCTATTCGCTGAGTTTTTTTGCGCTAACTTTGTCAATGACATGGACTCGAATATAACGGGATCTAGCTCCTCTAGTGACTCTTCGCTGAATTTTGGTTCGCTAGCCATTTCAACCGAGGACGTTATCAAAGGAATTGGTGATCTTAAGCCATCTTCACAAAGCGATGTAGAGGGTTTCTCGGCTTTTCTGTTGAAAAACTGTCTATGTTTAGCTGAGCCTCTTACTGCAATCTTCAATCACTCTCTGGCCTCGGGCATATTTGTGGACGACTGGAAACAAACGTCTGTAACCCCTATCTTTAAAAGTGGGAACAAAACTGATGTCCGCAACTACAGACCGATATCAAAGCTATCTTCTGTCTCCAAATTATTTGAGATTGTTGTAAGCTGTAAACTGTCTTTTGCTGTTAAAAACCTAATTTCTACTAATCAGCATTGGTTCGTCGCTAACCGCTCAACAGTCACAAACTTGGCTATTTTCAGTGATTACTGCTTATCTGCTTTTGAAAACAAAGCTCAGGTGGATACCATCTACACTGACTTCTCGAAAGCTTTCGACAAAGTATCACATCGTTTACTTCTGCTGAAACTGATCTCTTTTGGATTTCATTCGACATTTTTGTCTTGGGTTAAATCCTACTTAACTGATAGGCGCTGCTTTGTAGTAGTCGATAATGCAACCTCACAACCGTTCATCGCGTCCTCGGGTGTCCCTCAAGGCAGCATTCTCGGTCCCCTATTTTTTGTGCTTTTCATCAACGATATCAGTTCTTGTTTCAAATTTGCTAATTACCTACTTTATGCTGATGACCTTAAAATATTTGCAACTATCAAAAACCTTTATGACTCAGCCAACCTGCAATCGGACCTGAACAGAGTTCATGAATGGTGCTGCAAAAATCAGTTGACGCTAAATATCAGCAAATGCTTTCATGTATCTTACAGTAGACATCTCAATACTTTGCATACATCATATTCTATCTCTGGCTCTGTTTTGCAATCTGTGACCCAAATGAAGGACCTTGGTGTTGTCTTTGACTCCAAACTCGCATTCAATAGTCATGTCGATTACATCCTTTCGCGCTCATACTCGATGTTAGCTTTTATCCGCCGAAACTGTCAGGCGTTTACGAACCCTTATACTCTCAAAACTCTGTTTTGTGCACTAGTCAGGTCAAGACTGGAGTTTATTTGGAGGCCTTACACTAAAATTCTATCTAAACGATTAGAACGTGTTCAAAAAGTTTTTATAAAATTTGCTCTCCGTTCATTAAATTTTTCTTTGCCACTACCTTCATACTATTCTCGCTGCCAACTAATCAACCTTACAACACTGGATAACAGAAGATCCATTTTAGCGTGCACGTTCGTAGTTAACATCATAACTGGCTCAATTGACTGCCCTTCTCTTCTAGAAAAGATTGCATTTAATATTCCCTCTAGAATCCTCCGCCATTGGGATTTCTTCAAACTAGGTTTCTCTAGAAGCAGTTATGGTGCCAACTCTCTAGAACGTGTGCTGAACTTAACCTAGTCTTCAATGCTTTGGACATTGATTTCTCACAATCAGGCCCTGCCTTGGTTACTCATCTGCGAACATTTTTCTCTGCGCTACACCACTAGCGATGTATTTAATCTTAGCTCTTGTGAACTTAATGTATTTAAAATTTATCTTAATTTTTAAGTTTTAGTAGCACTTAATTAGTGTTAGCTGAGTAGTCTGTAAGAATAATCTGTATTCCAAGACTGAAATAAATAAATAAAAAAAAATATATAGAGCTAATTTCGTGCTATACAATGGCCCAAAAAAGTTAAAGAAAACAACTGGTATTCCTTTTTTGTATCACATTGAAATCGTACGACTGTCACGTGCGCCACCATGGGAATGCCCATATATCTTCGCCCGTCCGATTAATTCTTGGGGCCGACGTTTTCCCAAAGATATTCTTGGGCACTATTCCATCCGGTGTCATGGGCCCACTGTTGGTACAAAACACAATTTTTGGTTGGGTACTATCTGGTGTCAGCTGAGTATTCTCACAATAACAAAACTCTTTTTATACTTACTTCCGTTCTCTAAAACTGAATTTAAATTAAATAAACAAGTGCATGTGAATTTTAAACCACGCTTTTTATTGTGAATATTTTCTTTTCATTTAGAATTTAGGTACAACCAGTGCAGACCTCACGAGGATCACAGCGCGATTAGCTGTAAGATATTTTATGAAGTATGGAANGGAACGTGGTGGCCGGATTACGTAAATTCTGAACGTTGCGTATAGCAAGGGGGCCGGCATGTTTAGGCCGTCGCCCTAAATATTTTTTCTTTTGTGCCACCCTAATGCTTAACATTAGTATAATATACCACAGTTAGCTATTCAATATTACATACTGCTAGCTATGTTAAAATTTCCCTTTTTTGCCTAAAACCGTTCGGTAGGCTAACGCAATTGAAATAAAAGAACGGGTTACTTACTTACTTTTCGAGTGTCCTGCAGAGAAGAACGCATCCAGCCACCACATTTCATCGCTTCACCAATTTTATTAAAAGGTAATCTGAAATATACTTGTACATTATTATTGAAGCAAATAAAATTATTTGAAATCTGTGTATCTCTAATACCAACTTTCACCGTGTTCTTTCTTTATTACCAAATACATCGGTGCGAGCGTGAAACTGGACTATTGCTACAAATTCGCGGTCTGAGCCAGAATCTGCGCTTGCACTCCAGACTCGCCTGATGAACAGTTGATGTATGGCATATTTTTGACGATGTCGGTAATTTTCTTCCATATTATCTAAGTATGTTCGACGATTTTTTTAATGAAGAAAATGAGCAACGCCTTCATAAAAAAAAAAAAATATTAAAAATCAACGATAAGACGCAGCTTGCGCTTTATTTGAATTGATCGGGCTACAAAACAGCATACTCAAAATATGCATTTCTAGGAAATCTAATTAAAAAGTTTTACGAAAGTTTGTTGATTTTTTTAATGTTGCGCAAAGATTAAACTTCGGATTTATACGGGTTTTGTTAAAGTGTAAACTGCATTTTTATAAACAAATAATTAAAATTATATAATTTTAAGATAAATGGCGAATCTAGTTAACATGTAAATTTCAAGTTTTATTACTGAATTCAAAGAAGATGTCTCTTTTATCCATTCATAATAACTTAAAAAAATTTGTTTGTTAAGAAGTGTATTTTAAAATATCTGCCTTGTCATTTATGTTAAAAGTGTAAAATATGTAAATGTACCTACATAAAATTTCCCGTGAACACCATCAAATCATTGGTCTTGAAGGGAATCTATGTATGCATGCATGCATATGAGAAAATTAAAAAGTCGATACAATTTACAGTCAAAAAGTACAGTTTTTTTATTGATTTCGTACTGAAGGAATAATTTTATTTCCCAACACTGTGGGGAACTAAGCAAAATGGGCTAGTGTATTTCGCAAATATTCAAATACATAATCCACCAACCGATAATTTTATATATTCATTAAAAGATAATTTGTCATCAGTCTGAANGATTTCGTACTGAAGGAATAATTTTATTTCCCAACACTGTGGGGAACTAAGCAAAATGGGCTAGTGTATTTCGCAAATATTCAAATACATAATCCACCAACCGATAGTTTTATATATTCATTAAAAGATAATTTGTCATCAGCCTGAATTAAAAAAATATAAATCGGAAGAATAAGATAGTACTGTGTTATTAATTCAAAAATAAAAAGTTTCATTTCACTGACGAAGGGGGGTTCTATCCCCCCAAAGGCCCCCCCAGGCTACGCCACTGTCATTGTTTATAATGACTTTTGCCAAAATTTCAAAATTAAAAGTTATAAAAAAAATCTATGGGACTGAGATATAACATTTTCTAATTTTTAGTCCATTTATAAAAGGTGACAAGTAATAAGATCAACGGAAATAAGGTCAATTGACTTTATTTGCCACCCTGGTGTGAAATAAAGTCAATTGACATAATTACCTTTTTAAAAGCGAAATAAAATCCATTGACATTATTGCTTATAGCTTCGCGGCGGCCCGCGTCCGCGCGCCACTGCACGCGCGCACACCACGTCACGCTACGCCGCGGCGCGCCAGGGTGGGAAATAAAGTCAATTGACCTTATTTCCGTCGATCTTGTTACCTGTCACCTTTATAAAAGCGTGGTTTATTAAAAAAGTTTTTTTTTATTTTATTTATTTTCTAATGTTTAGTCTTGTCTGTATAAAATTTTGCCATAGATATTAAAATAATTCAACTTGTAGTGAAAAGAGAACAGAAGACTATGCAAGCAAAATTTTGTTTTCTCGCGTTTAGTATATGCATACTTATCTACATACATACATATAGCAGCAATTAATTTCATTTAAAGAAATGGTTCGTCGTCCAATTTTGTTAATTGATCAAGATTTCAACGTTAAACAAAAAGTTATAATTCCCAAGAAAACCCGATAGTAACGATACTATCAATGTTTTATTGGCGAAAACGTCGAAAATTCGGTAGTTCCAAGCATCGATGTTTTGGCTACACTAGAAAGTAAGCTTCGATCATAGACAATGCCTTTGGCGAAGTTCAACTTATCAAGTAGGGTGACCACAAATGAACACTAGGGCTGGCAAACTAACGATACCATCGAAACGACTATCGATGGTTTCCGTCTGACGATAGTTCTAATTTTCTCTCCCTTGTCTAGCAATTAATTGATTTTATACACATTAAAGCGTCTTTCCGATCAATCCATAACAGTTACTCGTTTAAATATGAACTTTATTAGATGCCTCTCACATCTTGTTGAAAACTAAATCAATTATACGGGATTCACAACAAAAATAAGACTTTCGATTCTCTTGAAGATGCAAATTCAAACACGGTTTGTTTGGCAGATAAAGCAACTATGTATCAAATCAACTGTTTGGCTTCTTAGCTCAAAGAATTTGCAACAAAAACTCGATCAGCTAATGTGGATGCAATTATTACCAATGCACAAAATCTTTAACAGCTTAACGTTGATCCGGATATAAACACATTGCAATATTGGAAAATAAGTTGTTTAATTAGGAAAATTATATTTAATTGAACTTATTTATGTACTTTTTCGTACCAAATCAAATGAATTCGCTACCCGGTATATCAAAAAAGTATCTGTGCATCCCAGTCTCGCTGGCTTAATAATAAATGATCGCAGGACGTCACTTAAACCAAACACAGTGGATAAATAAATATTTTTACAAAACAAACTAAAGTTAAAATCAATTAAATTTAATTCTATTTTAAAATAAATCCAATATCACAAA